GACCGCAATATCGGTTTTACAGAGAATTACCCGAGCGTTCTAGCAATATCCAATCAATCCCCGTTATGCCGGTCTCACGGCCATATAGGGCTGCTGACCGCAATATCAGTTTTACAGAGAGTAACTCGAGCGTTCTAGCAATATACAATCAATCCCCGTTATGCCGGTCTCACGGCCATATAGGGCTGCTGACCGCAATATCAGTTTTACAGAGAATTACCCGAGCGTTCTAGCAATATCCAATCAATCCCCGTTATGCCGGTCTCACGGCCATATAGGGCTGCTGACCGCAATATCAGTTTTACAGAGAGTAACCTGAGCGTTCTAGCAATATCCAATCAATCCCCGTTATGCAGGTCTCACGGCCATATAGGGCTGCTGACCGCAATATCAGTTTTACAGAGAGTAACCCGAGTGCTCTAGCAATATCCAATCAATCCCCGTTATGCCGGTCTCACGGCCATATAGAGCTTCTGACCGCAATATCAGTTTTACAGAGAGTAACCCGAGCGTTCTAGCAATATCCAATCAATCCCCGTTCTGCCGGTCTGACGGCCATATAGGGCTACTGACCGCAATATCAGTTTTACAGAGAATTACCCGAGCGTTCTAGCAATATCCAATCAATCCCCGTTATGCCGGTCTGACGGCCATATAGGGCTGCTGACCGCAATATCAGTTTTACAGAGAGTAACCCGAGCGTTCTAGCAATATCCAATCAATCCCCGTTATGCCGGTCTGACGGCCATATAGGGCTGCTGACCGCAATATCAGTTTTACAGAGAGTAACCCGAGTGCTCTAGCAATATCCAATCAATCCCCGTTATGCCGGTCTGACGGCCATATAGGGCTGCTGACCGCAATATCAGTTTTACAGAGAATTACTCGAGCGTTCTAGCAATATCCAATCAATATCCGTTATGCCGGTTGTCCCACCATATAGGGCTGCTGACCGCAATATCAGTTTTACAGAGAATTACTCGAGCGTTCTAGCAATATCCAATCAATATCCGTTATGCCGGTTGTCCCACCATATAGGGCTGCTGACCGCAATATCAGTTTAACAGAGATTTA